TTTGAACGTCGAGTGCATGGTCAGCAAGCCCTCGAGCTCCGAGACCTCAGACGTGTCCACGCGGTTCAACGCCGCGTAACCAATCTGGATGACCTCTGGGAAGGCCTTGATGACTTCAAAACTGACCACGGTCCATTCCAGCCCCCTGGAAAGCGCTGTGTTCAGGCTCGGCCACTTGGTGATGAGGAACTGCGAATCCAAAGAGCCGCTGGGCGCGATGGTCTCATCGGTGCATGGCAAGGCGGCCTGGATGGCGCGCAGAGTCACGTTGGAGTGCGTGCCGCCGAAGGAAGCCAATTCCATCTTCTCGCAAGGTGGGAGGCCGCACTTCCTGCTGTGCTCTTCATTCCAAGAAATCCAGCCGCCGCACGCATCATCAGTGGTCGGAACCTCCACGGCGAACGCGCCCTGGCAGGCTCGCGGGTAGCTCCAGCCAGCCCTGCAGTGCTTGCCGAGGTTCGACAAGCTCTTCTGCACCTTGGAGTCCTCCTCCTCCACCTCCTCCTCTTTCTCCTCCTCCACCCCCTCCTACACCTCCTCATCTACCTCCTCCTCCTCCTTGGCACCTCGAAGCCCAAGCCGCCGCGATTCTGCGGCGAAGCGCCGACCCTGGTCGGCGCGACCGTGGTGACCCGCAGGAGCTCCTTCTTGCTACCGAGGATCCCGAGGATGCTGTCCCAAGCCTTGACCACCTCCGCGTCCTGCTTGAACCGACAGATGACCTGCCGCAAGTCGCCGCTGACCTCCCGCAGGGCCTGCTCCACGGCTGGCATGGTTGCAAAAGCGCCAGGCCGATCGGAGCGAAGGCGACTTTGAGCCAAAACGGCGATGCGAACGACGACGCCAGGCAGCCCCAAGATGCCCCATGGCCACAGGAGGCACCAGGAGGCACCTGCAGGAGGCACCAGGAGGCGTCAGGAAGTCCCAGGAGGCTCCAGGACTTTCCAGGACTTGCCAGGAACTCACAGGAAGTTCCAGAAAGCGCCAGGAAGTCCCAGGATGCCCCAGGAAAGAAACACCAAGGGAGCTCAGGATGCCCCAGGAGGCTCCAAAATTTCCCAAGAGACCGCAGGAGTTCCCAGGATCCGCCTAAAGCCCCTCAGGATGCCGAAGGAGGCTTCAGGAAGCCCCCCCTAGGCCACTATGAGGCCCCAGGAAGCCACAGGATGCATCAGAGAGCCATATGAGGCCCCAAGAGCCCCAGGAAGTCCTAGGAGGCCCCAGGAGGCTCCAGGAGGTTGCTAATCTTCTTAGCTAAGCCGCTAACTCACTTAGCTAACCTGATTAGCTAACTAGCTTAGCGGCTTAACCTAAGGATGTTAGCAACCCTTGCAAGTCACGTGCTAACACGTTGCCAATCGACGTCCGCAATATACCTAACGCAATGTATTCCTTTAGCTATATCGTCTATCATGATATAGGCATGCGGTGGCGTTGGTAACGACTTGTATAACGAACCCTAAGCCGCTAATGCGTTGCAACAGTTATAAGCACGTTATAAAAGTTATCAAGATGTTATTGGGAAGTTGCTAAAGAGTTGGTAGAAGTTGCCAGAGGCTTAGCAAGTTGTTATAACGACGACAAGTGTTAGCAAACCCGGCACTCTTCCAAGCAGAAGCGACCTCCATGTCCACAATACCACAATTCCGCCTGACGCTGTCCGGGCGCCCGGGCGGCCCGCGGGCGTCCGGGCGGCTGGGCGCCCGGGCGTCCGGGCCGCCCGGGCGTTCGGGCGCCGAGCGCTCTGGGCGTCCGGGCGGCCCGGGCGGCCCGGGCGTCTCGGCGGTTTGCTTGTGCGGCTTGGGCGCTGTCCTGGCTACCCGCACCCGGGCGTCCGGCGCCCGAACCGCCGCGGCGTGTGGGCGGCTTCGCCCCGGGCGTCCGTGTCGCACGGGCTGCAGCGAAGTCCTGAGCGGCTGGGCGCCCGGGCTCTGGGCTCTCTCCGCTTTTCGGCGCCGGCGCTCGGGGCGCCTCGGGCGGCCCGTGGCGGCCCGGCGGCGGCTTGTTTCGCTGGGCGGCCCGTCCGAGCTCCCTGCGCCAGGCGTCGTGGCGCCGAGCGGCCGCGGCGTCCGAGCGGCTGGGCGCACGGCGGTCGTCCGGCCGCCCTGGCGATCCGGCGCGACCGGGCGCCCCGTGCGTTCGGGCGCCCGGGCGCTCTGGGCGTCCCGGCGGCCCGTGCGGCCCGTGCGTCCGGGCGGCCCTGGGCGCCCGGGCGCGTCCGGGCGGCTGGTCGCCCCTGGCGCCCTGGCGGCCGCGGCGTCCGGGCGGCTGGGCGCCGGGGCGTCTGGGCCGCCCCGGCGTTCGGGCGCCGGGCGCTCTGGGCGTCCGGGCGGCCCGGGCGGCCCGGGCGCCCGGGCGGCTGGGCCGCTGCTGGGATCACCGCTCTGCTTAGCATGTGGATAGATAGCTTATATCTACTTAGCCGTCGACATAACATACTTAGCTAAGCTACATAGCGCGCGCCCGCTATCCAAGTTAGCAGGGCCGCGCTAACCAGGATAGCCTAGTCGGTCTATCCTAGATAGCACGTGTGGCCGCACGTCCCGCGGCCCCATAGGAAGCTCCACACACACACACACACACGCGCACACACACACACACACACACACGCGCGCACACGCACGCACACACACACACACACACACACACACACACACACACCACACACACACACACACACACACACACACACACACACACACACACACACGCGCACACACACACACACACACACACTCTCTGGCACAACCCTCACACGTTTCGTGGCCCAACATGTGTGGCCACACCCAGTCTGGCACACCCCTCACACGTTCCGTGGCCCCGCATGCGTGGCCACACCCACTTTGTCACACCCCTCACACGTTTCGTGGCCCCGTGTTCTGAGATCGTCGTCGTCGTCCTCCTCGTCGTCGTCCTTGTCCTCGTCGTCCTCGTCGTCGTCGTCGTCGTCGTCGTCGTCGTCGTCGCCTGCTCTGGAGTCGGCGGGGGGGGCGGAAGCCCTACGTTCTGCTGGGGGCGGCGGGCGGGGCGCAACCCTGGATCTGCCCACATAGCGAAACGCCCCCAGCAAAGCGCCCTAAATAGCAAGGGGGGCGCGGAAATGGCAGAAGCCTACGGAATAGGAAGGCGGGGGGGAGGGAGCGACGACGACTAAGACGACGACGACGACGAAGCTCCGAACGGTCTGCGGCCAGAGCGGTCTGCGCTCGCAAGCTCCGAGCGGTCTGCGGCCAGAGCGGTCCTGCAAAAACCGCTGAGTCGTCGTCGTCGTCGTCGTCGTCGTCGTCGTCGTCGTCATCGTCCTCCTCGTCGTCGTCGTCGTCGTCGCCCTCGTCGTCGTCGACGTCGTCGTCCTCGTCGTCGTCGTCGTCGTCCTGTTCGCCAAGTCGCACGATGCCCGACTCGGCGCACGGGAGCGGTCTTCGCTCGCAAGCTCATTCATGAGCTGTCCTGCAAAAAACCTCCGAGTCGTCGTCGTCGTCGTGGTCTAGCTGTTCACCTCGTCGTCGTCGTCGTCGTGATTCGGTTCGGCCAGTTCGTCGTCGTCGTCGTCGTCGCCGCCGCCGCCGTCGCCGCCGCCGCCACCCTCGCCGCCGCCGTCGCCGTCGTCGTCGTCGTCGTCGTCGTCGTCGCCCCAAGAGGCCTCCAATACGGCCCAAGAGGCCTCCAAGAGGTCCTCCAGGAAGGCCCGAAGATGCCAAAATCACCGATTCCCCTTAGGTTGTTGAAGGGTTTTGGCATTTACGCCTTTTCGGCCTTCCGTCGGCCGAAGACGGCCCAAAAGGCCCCCAAGGTCGCCCCAAGAGGGCCCCAAGACGGCCCAAGAGGCTTCCAAGACGCCCAAGATGGCCTCCAAGATGGCCCTGAGGCGCCCCAAGAGGGCCCCAAGTCGGTTCAGGGAGGCCCCCAAGACGGCTTCCGACGGCGTCAGACGGGCCAGGAACGCCCTAAGACGGCCAAAGAGGCCCCCAAGAGTATGGCCGCCCGCCTCGGAGCGATTGGCCTCGTCGTCGGGCGGGGTGAAGGGCTCGCCCTGCGTGGCCATCTCGGGCTGGGGATCTCTCGGGGCTGGGGGAGTCCAGGTCTGCTGCGTTAAAGCTGGGGGCCAAGGATGGCTGCGGACTCAGAGGGGCCGCAAACACCCTAACAGCAGTGAGAGTGACCCCGATGGTTGTCCCGATGGTTGTCCCGATGGTTGTCCCGATGGTTGTCCCGATGGTTGTCCCGATGGTTGTCCCGATGGTTGTCCGAATGGATGTCCCGATGGTTATAGCCGCAGCGCTCGAGAGGGGCGACCCCGGACCCACAACCAAGGCACGGTGGCTGATCAGATGGCGAACTTCCACGATCGTCGCAAGCTCTCGGTCCTTCTGGGGGTCGGCTGACGAGGAGGAGGACGGGATGATGATGATGAGGATGATGATGATGAAGGGACGTTTCCACGCGAGCAGCGCCGCGAGCGCGCGTGCAGGTACAACTCAAACGTCATGCGTGTCTCCTCGCGTGTGTCCTCCTCCTCCTCCTGCTCCTCCTCCTCCTCCTCCTCCTCCTCCTCCTCCTCCTCCCTCTCATTCCCGTTATCGCCATCATCATCCCAATCCATAGTCACTTTGCTCCTGCTCTCCCCCCCTGTCCTCATCCCCTCCCCCTCCTCACCATCCGCCTCCCTCCATAAATACACGGCACCACCCATCTTTACCTTATGGGGGTAAAGCACCGTTGCAACAGAACCTGCAGCAGCAGGAAAAAAACACACACGGTTCTATGATGTTATGGGTCTGGTACAGACCTGGAGCACTCCAAACTATACACTTTGCCGCACTGGTGCCCATCTCCTGGACATCCCACTCCGATATGCACGAAAGTAATTTGCCGCCCACTTTCGCATGAAAGAGGACCTCCCCGAACGCAACCTGATGCGAAGCGTTACTGCACGCAACGCAATCCCCAATGCAGACTGCTCTACCGCGCACAAAGCAGGATGACGAACTGACAACATCCTTCTCGCTGCCGATGGGCAGAGGCAAAACTTTACTGATGGACGAAATGAGCTGGCGGCTGGCGGGCTTAGGGCCCAAGAGGTCCACGCCGAAAAGTGCATGATGCTCCACGTCGTGGAGGTGCTGCAGCGTCACCTCCTGCATTATGCCTTTTTCATACCCTTTCGTATTGTGCCGCCCGCCAGCAAAGCGCTTTATAACGCGATGCTTCCTCTCCATGAGGAAAGTTGAGAGGAGGCATCTGTGCCGCTCCAATTGAGATGGCAAATGGAAAATCCAATGGTCCTTCGGCTTAAAAAGCTGGACCCCGTAGACCGCTCTGTGGCGCTCCATGTGGGATGAAATCGCCTGGGCTAGCATGAAAGGCTGCACGTGGCCACAATTGGCCATGATCAACAAGTTAATCACATCGCACGAACAAAATGCACTAATAATCTCGCCCTTAAGCTCATCTGCGCCATCGGCGTTCGAAACCACATCGCTGAGATACCGCTGAAGAACGGGCGCGAGCGAAACATATTCACTTGCGGAGCCCTGCATTGTTCCACCACTCATGGTATTCTTTGCATGCGCATAGCCCCTCGGCCAGCACCAAGCCTGAAGATAATCGCGCAGGCAGTCGTGTCCTCTACGAATGCTCGACAACCTACCCAGCATCTCGTCCACCTCCCTCTCGAATAGCCCACCTATCATATAGCAGTGCATCCAGTCCCAAGAGGTGGCCTCCGCAACTGGCACCGCCAGATGCCTGTCCTGGAGGAGGCCGTCGCGCTGGTAGGACCACCCGAACAAGACCTCGAGCCGCTTGACCTCGGCCCACCGTCCAGCATCGGCTGCATCACTGAGGCGCCGCTGAACCGCCATGATCTCCTCGGTCGTGTAGAGATCGAAGAGGCTGACGTCGGTGCAGTGCGCTGGGATCAACCACCCAGTCGGGTCAGGGGGAAGATCGCTTCTGGGGCACACGACGTTCTTGCGCAGCATGCAGGGCTTGATGCCCGTGGCGCCCTTCACCTGCAGCACGAACTTGCGGGCCCGCTCGTCCTGGATCATGATCTGCAGCTTGCCCTGCAGCATCGCGACCTAGGGGCGGGGCTGCCACCGTCCTCTTTCCCATCCTCCTCCTCCTCCTCCTCCTTATCCCCCTCCCCTTGCCGACCCTCCGCCCTCTCGTCGTCGTCGCCACCCTCCCCGCACGGGGGAAAAAATCACGCACCCCTCCATGGAGGGAGGGGTGGTTCGGCGAAGTTGGGGGCGGGGTGAGTAGCATGGGGGGGCGTCGGACCTGGCCGCCGATGCGCAGAGCAACTCCACGTCGGAGATCGGGCCCTGCAGGCAGGCCGAAGAAAAGCTTCAGGCACTCCTTCATCACCGTGGACACGCCACCTACCACATCGTCCAAGATGCTGCTACGCATCGCGGCAATGGTGTTCCAGCAGAGCTCGTTGCTGAGGGCCGGAAAACCGAGCTCGGCAAAGCTCCAATAGAATGCTTGCGTCTTGCGACGGTTCTTGCCGTCCAAGACGTTGCCAGGGACGATCTCGTCGCTATAGATATACACGTTCATCGTCCCATGATGCTTGGCCGCCAACTCGAGGAACATCTCCTGGTACGAGGGTGATGTCCTGCAGGCCGCCTCGAGCCACGCGAATGGATGCTGGAACCACGCGCGCACGTCCGATGACCCGAGCCGCTTCTCCACGAGAACGGGGCCGAAACTCGTGTCCTCCATGACTCTGGCCTCGCGGTGCCTGGCCAAGGTCGACGCGCTGAACGCCTCGGGGAGGCCCTCCCTCTGGATGTCGGCCATCAAGGCGGCCGTCGCGGCGGCCGTCGCGTGGGACGACCTGCCGTACACGACAGTGCGCATTCTCTTCGGAACAGAAGGCATAGCTTCTGAGAGCTGGTAAAGCCAGAAACGCTTGAGCCAAAAATGGCTACGGTGTTGCCGCTGATGTTTATGATTTGAACTGTCGGCGCAGGGTTGTTGCGCCCCGCGTCAGCAGTGTGCAATATACCGTTGCTAGCTATGGGGCCGTTTGCTTGCTTGCTCGCTTAGTTTAAGTTGCTGCTCTGGTTGATGCTGAATCGCTCTTGCTGGAGCGTTGGTGTGACTCTTAGTTCTTGCCACGATCGTTGATGCTGCTATGTTTGATGCTGAATCACTCTTGATCCGATCTCTGATGCTGCTCTTGCTTGGATCGCTGGTGTAGCTGGCTTCTTCACTGATGCGCCCTGCTGCTTGGGCGCGTGCGACGATGCGACTGCCGTGGCGCGCGGCTGCTGCCACCCGCCATTGTTGTGACGCAACGCAGGGCGCCGAAAGCTCCCCAGCCCAAACGAGGCAGGACAGGGGCAGCGAGGGTGCGGAGACAACCATTTCTCACCAAAAGGCCAACGCAACATGGGTGCTTGCATCCGCAGCTGCCTTCCCCTCGCCCTCCTCCTCCTCCTCCTCCTGCCCCTCCCACGTGCTCCGCCTCCTCGCCCGCCTCCCCTCCCTCCTCCTCATCATCCGTACACCTCCCCACCCTCCTCCTTAGCCCTCCCCCACCCGAACCAACCTAGGCCCCCGCCTCCCTCGCAGGCGATGTGGGGGCAGGGCAAGCCGCGATCCTGTAGCGGGCTGCGCAGAGAGGCACGCGAGGTGGGGAGTAATATAGAAGCGAGTCCCCAAATGGCTTACAATACTCTCCTCGCAGCGTGCTATCAGAAATGCGCAGGGTGAGCACTAAACAGCTCAGCTACCGTCCCAGGCCTCACTCGCCACGCGGAATCCCCACTGAGCGACCTCGCGCACAGCCGCTGCGGGCAGCCCACCCGCGCGGGCCTGGGTCTGTGCGCGACTGTAAGCCCTCGATGCGAACGTGTTGCGGTCCCTGCCCTCAATCGAAGCCTTCGTGATGACGTCGGCAATGTTGATGAAGATCCCGTTCCTGATCATGGTGCCTTGGGGGACATGCGGGTCTGGGGCAGGGGGGAAGGGGACGAGGACGAACGAGGAGGGGAGGGAGGGTGGCAGGGGCAGGGAGGGGGGCGTGAGGGAGGTCAAGAGGGAATGGAGACGGGGGAGGAAGGCGACGACGACGACAACGGTGAGAAGGAGAAAGGGGATGGACGTGGGATGTGAAGAAAGCTCCGTGGAGCTTCGAAGGCACCCAGGGGGGAGGGGCAGCGCTACCCTATGGCTACCCCATGGGCGCCCACTGGGAACTTCCGACACCTCGTAGCTACCCCGTCGTTCAACCCCCCGCTGCGCGCTGGCAGTGCCACGCGTCGCCCTCCTTCTTAGCACCCTCCCTCGCCTTCGCCTCTTAGTCCCCACATCCCTCCTATCCTCCTCCGCATTTCCCTTGTCGCCATTATCCCCCTCCCCGCACCCCTACCTACTCTTGCTCCTGATACTCCTCATCACCCTCATCCTCGTCATCCTCCTCGTCAGTACCCTCACCCTCATCATTGCCATTGCCGCACCCCCCGTGCCTTTCGCCATTGCCCCCGAGCCTTTCGCTGCCTTAGCCATGGGAGCACGTGCAGCCTCCTTGGCCGCGGCGGCTTTAGCCTTGGCCTTGCCCTTCGGCTTGGCCTTGGCCTTGGCCTTGCCCTTGGACGAGGCCGTCTGCGCGGGCGCGCTCTCCTCGGGCTTGCCCTCGTCGAACTCGACCTCCTCGGCGGTGCCCGCTGCCGCGGGCCTCTTCTTGCACCTGTAGTTGCTACCAGCCGCCTCCGCTGACCTGTTGAGCTTCTCCTCCAACTCCGCCGCGGGGTCGTGAGCAGGCAACGGCGCCAGACCAGGCGCCCGAGGTCCACCATGATGCGCGTCGCCGACCGCGGCAGGAACCACGGCCCCGCCTGCACCAGGTGCGCCGCCCACCTCGGCAGGCACCAAGGCCGTGCCTGCATCAGGCGCGCCGTCGCCTGCAAGAGGAGCCGCGGCATCGCCTGCACCATGTGCGCCGCCGAGTGGAGCAGGAACCACCGCCCCGCCTGCACCGCCAGCCGTCTGAGGCGGCGACGCGGCGCTCGCACCAGACAACTGCGAGTCGAAGCCGCTGAGGTCCTGCTCGGGGTTGGGGCCGCCCGCCATCGGAACCGCCGATGCACTCAGCGTCCCGACGCCCGAACGGGCAAGGCTGGATGCTGGCGAGCGCTTCGGCGTCGGCCTCGCGTAGCTGATCGGGCAGCCCCCCCCTTGGGCAGACCCGCCCTCGCTCGATGAGCCGCCCATCAACTGCTGGACTAAGGGGGCCATCCGCATGATGAACTGCATGCCCTGCATGGCGCCCATCCCTTCCATGCCCATGAAGCCGCCGCCGCCGCCGCCAGCCCTCGGAGGAGCGCCCGCTGGCACCAGGGCCGAGCACGGGCTAGCCGAAGTGGTATGCCTCGGCTGCAGGGTGTTGTGGCTCCTCTTGCAACCGAACGCCGTGACCTCCGCGTCGAGGGCCGCCGTCGTCACTGACGCTGGCAATGCGGTAGAAGGTGCGCCGTCTGAGTAGGCGTAGTCGTAGACAGCAGTGGGCAAATCCGATGGGGCGTCAACGTACCTTTTGATATGCTGACCTGGCCAAGTCTGCTGTTTGTCGAGGCCCTTGATGTAGCCCTTCAGCGTGGTGCACCACTTCTTCTTTGTATCGGGGGTAGCGCCGTCGCTCTCGGCAGGGAGCCCGCACAACGTCACAATGGCAACCACGCGCTTGACCAAAGGAATCGAAGGGCACGTCACGCCCAGACGCCATAGGCGCTCCGCCAAGACCTGGAGCTTGGCCTCGACCGACAGGCCCGCGTCCTGAACGCAAGTCCAGTCGTGGTCTGTCAAGCAGCTCTCCACGTAGTTCATGGTCTGGTTCTCCCTGGCAGCTTTCTGCTTCGGTTGGCCACCGCTGTTGCCGACTGCGGTGGCGAGTCTGGCCATCTGCTCCTGTGTCCACGGCCCCGAGCTGAGCTCCGTGGAAACCGCAGAGATGTCATCGATGGTGAGCGGCCCCGCGTTCCTCAAGTCGACCAGGAACGCATCCGACTGGGCGACCAGCAGGCTGTCTCGGTCGATCCCAGCCGCCGTCTGCGACGCGACGAGGGACACCCACGACCTCAAGGTGGCAATCAGGTTATCGCTCACGGGCATTGGGCGGCTGGCCAAGGCGCCTGGTGCGAAGGGCGCAAAGTCTGGAACTGGCAAGCCTGAGACAACGCTGAGCTAAAAGGGGCTGCGGGGTGGGGCGGGGATTAGAAGGCGGAGGTGCGTGGTGGATAAGGGGTGGGCACAACCGCCACCACGCTCTCCCAAGGAATATGCGTCGAGCGCGCGCGTTATGCGCTGGGCGTCATCTCGGGCAACTTATAGGCCCCTCTCGGGGCCACGGCCGTTTTCGAATGGGGTCCGAACCTGATGTCCCAGACGCATCTCGACACACCGCGACACAGGGCACGCGCTTCGATCATGTGGCGGTGCATCGTCGGGCCCCCCTGCGTGGGCCCCTCGGCACATTATCGGGCCACCGCGTGGCTCAAAGGGACCGCCGCGCAAGTCAAGTCGCAAGCACGCCGCAAGACGGCCCCCCCCAGTGCGATGGGGCCCTCATCCTACGATGGGCCCCTCGTCCTCCCTCTCCTCATTATTGCCATCATCCCCACACCCCCCTTATCACAATCCTCCTCATCCTCCTCCTCCTTATCATTTCTCCTCCGCCTCCTCCCCCTCGGCTTGACCAGGTCTCCACGGCTGTTCAGTCTCTGACCCCTAGACTCCTCCTCCTCCTCCTCCTCCTCCTCCTCCTCGCTGCCTCAGCAACTCTCTCTCGCAACGGGCGGAGCGCGGCTCGCGAGGGCCGGCCTGCGGTGAAGTTGGTGAGCACCCCGAGCGGCGAGGGAGCGGCGGGGTAGCGGCGAGAGAGCGGGCGCATGCGGCAAGAGAGCAGCGGGCGCGGTGATCGCTGCTTCGTCGCCGCCGTCGTCGCCGACACTACTGCCCCTCCCTGCGTAGCTCACTCACCAGCCCGAGTGAGCTACATGTGGTTCGATCGCCGACCCAAGTGAGCTACATGTGGTTCACTCGCAGGCCCAAGTGAACTACGGCACACCCTTATCAATAGAGTAGCTCACTCGCGCTGGCGAGTGAGCTACATGTAGCTCACTTGCCAGCGCGAGTGAGCTACATGTGGTTCACTCGCGCTGGTGAGTGAGCTACGCCAGATCTTACACCCTACAGCTCCTCCGCGTAGCTCACTCGGGCTGAGGAGAGGTGATCTACATACGACTCGCACGATCGACGATGTGTGACTGAGGGGTCAGTCACACGTCGCACGAGCCCCTCGGATGGGTGCACCTAACTGGGATGAGCATCACTGGCCCTGGACGGGCCCGCCAGACAAGGGCGCCTCTCCGAGCCAACACCCCGCAGGCTCCAGGGATCAGGGCTGGCATCGTGCTGGGAGGGCTGCTCGCGGCCGCGATCGGGCCGTGAGCCAAGGGCATATCCTCGAGCCGACTCCGGCGCGCCCAATCGACGACGACGACGACGACGAACGACGACGACGACGAACGACGACGGCGGCGGCGGCGGAGCGGGATCAGACGCAGTAGCAGGAGCAGGGGGATGGTGATGGGAGGTGGTCCAGGGGGGGGCGGCGGGGGAGGCCGAGGGCTCAGAAGGAGGATGGGGAGGATGAGGACGAGGAGGAAGAGCAGGAGCAGGAGCAGGAGGACACGGAGGAGTGATTTAGCCATAGCGCTGCTACGCACATGGGTCGCACCACCAGCGACTGTGTCAGATGCTCTCCGAGCTAGCATGGGCAATGCTCCGAGCAACTCGCTCGGCACGGCCTCGCACAACGCACTTACGGCGCAGGCGAATCTGAGCCAGCGCATCTG